CATATTTTATAGATTTATTAAATAAAAATAAATTGCTTAAGAAATAATATAAATAATAAATGAAATAATGATATAAAAGGAATGTATACAAAAACCAAGGTTTTTGTTTAAATATATGGGTTTTAATAAGAATATATGATCGGACAAAACCTATGACTTACGGGGAAGGATCTCGTAAAAACCCCAAATTGAACCATAATTTTCGTAAATTATATAAACATGAACATGCCTTTATTAGATTTTTATAGTGCATAACATATTTTTAAACACGTTTAAATGTCTGCACTGTAAAGGGAAAAAACCATTTCGATACATAGGTATGGTAATGGGGCAGGCATCCCAATCTCCGTCCCCGATCCTCCATCTTTGTCCAAGTCCCCGTCTCCGTCCCCATCTACCACGGGGGAATTTGATCACATCCTCATCCCCGTCCTAACGGGGAAACGGGGATTTTTTTTCCTATTTGTGTAAGTTTTTTTAAATTAAATATGTGAAATGATACACATGTTTAAATCTCATTTTTTTTCCAATAAACGTAAAATCAAAAGGAATTTAATTTAATACAAAAAATATACATCATCATATAATAATTAATATATCGAAAACCAAAAAAAATTTAAATTTAATCTAAAAAAATTAACGTCACATTTATCAAAACATATTGAGTAATATCCAAAACCACGTGTAGTAATATCTAAAATATATTGAAATAGAAATTACCATTTACTAAATTAATAGAAATAAATAATATATAATATAATTATATATATATATATATATATATACGAGTACGGGGCGGGCCGGGGAGTGCGCTCGTCCCCATCCCTGGTTTGAGCCAAACGGGGATTCCCGTCCTTGTCCCTGAGACCCGGTTTAACGAAGAATCCCCATCCCTGATGAGAGCGGGTGGACCGGATGCCCCGACGGGGGCAGGTGAACCGGGTTCCCCGACGAGTCGGGACCAATTCTCATGCCTATAGATACATAATGCCAAATTGCTAACATGATATGGGAGAAAATTAAATGAGAGCCATAAAAATGTTTTAAAACTGTGAGAATCAATCTTAAAATATCTCTATATTATTTTATTCATTAAAAACTATGATTTAAGATATCGTTTCATATATCACGTTATGGAAGAACAATACAGGTGAAACTCTTTTTGGTTAAACAGTGAAATGAAAAATATATGTTAAAAATTCACATTTGGTAAATAGTAATATGTGAAAATATTTTAAATCCTAATATGAAAGAGAAAAAATCATGTGAAACAAAACGTTGAGATTGGTTCCTATGAGTTCATAACATTTTTGTTCTCATAGGAATAGTCTCCATATGAGATAAGATAAAATTTAGAGGCCGTTTACTAAACGCTTACCTGGGTAAGTGCTTACCAAGTTACATTACCTTATCGGATTGAATATGGTAAGGACCAACAATATTACCTGGTAAGAATGAAACAAAGACCAAGATTTTTACCCGGTAAGTGAAGACGACAAATCTTATCATGGTAAGCGCTTACTGGGTGAATTGTTGCATACAATACCGTTTTGTTATACTAAAATTTTACCCGATAAGTAAATGATATTGTTAAAGTTTACCAGTAAGCATTTACCAAATAAATGTTTGTAAACGGACCCTTAGACATGTTTTTATGTTTCAAGGATTGGGTGCTGGTGGAAAAAAAAAGTTAATGTGAAAAGTTTAAGAAGTAATCTTCATCCTTGGATGCATATTAAGATGAGATGAAATGCATCTGATCAATCTCCATATCAAACATGATTTATGATTTATAATTTGAAATTAAAGGTAATCAAAGTTAAAATCCCTTTATTATATATATTATTTAGTTACGTTTGCCCTACACCCCTCCATTATATATATTCCCAACATGAAGTTGCCACAGCACATCAAAAGAACACGTCTTCTCTCACTGTTGTTCCTGGTTGAATATCTCCGTCATCAAGTCTCTGGATGATGTGAGCAAAATGAAAGCTCACCAGGCGTTTGATAATATGTTCAAGAGGATTTCTCTGGTATTCTTGATCGGAATCTTAGCCTGGGCATATCACAACACCTGTCCTCCACCACCAAGGCTCTGCGGTTCTCCCGGTGGCCCGCCGGTCACCGGACCTCGTGTCGTCCTCAGAGATGGTAGACATTTAGCCTATAACGAATACGGCGTCTCCAGAGACACAGCAAAGTATAAGATCGTTTTCGTCCATGGATTCAGTTCATGCCGCTACGATGCATCAGTTTTCCATCAGGTTTGATTTGATTGTCGTTGAATTCGGAATCAAACATCCATGGATGTATAGATTGCTTAATCAATTTGTGCATTTTTTAGGAATTATTTGAAGAACTTAAGATTTACATGGTGACTTTCGATAGACCGGGTTACGGCGAGAGTGATCCGGATCCGAAACGAACGATTAAAAGTTTAGCTCTGGATATGGAAGATCTTGCTGATAATCTGGAACTTGGTTCTAAGTTCTATGTGATCGGATACTCCATGGGTCAACAAGGAGGTTGGGGCAGCCTCAAGTATATCCCTCATCGGTAAGTAACCTTCCGTATAAAACAAACCAATATCTCGTAATGCATAAATGGTTTGTACTGTACAATTCAACAATGCTTTTATCAGGAAAAAACCTCACCCCTAAATGTTCCAGGTTCCGGCAAAGTTAGAAAAGGTAACAAGTAAATCGATAAATTAAATGATGACATAAAAAAAATTATGTTAAAAATTATATGATAAACTCTTATCTAGGTAAGTGTTTATATATTAAAATCTTACGCATCAAAATAATTGATAGTGTTGACTCTTATCGATAAACGTTTACCAGGTAAACAATTAGGTAAACGGCCCCTAAAGAATCAAGTATTTTTTATAAGTTCAATTAAATATTTATGATAATAATCATTAATACTTGGTTTTCATGATTCTCAAAATATTTATGATTCTAAAGAATCTCTTCCTATTAATATAATATTAATACCATTACTTACGTTTACAAGTAGTGTAACATTTAATTTCAGTTACAAACATCTTTGTCACTTTCCCATTGTGTTTTAAGAAGATGTGAAAGTTGGTACTTGGTATCATCAAAATTATTTATTTAATAAGATATATTGGATTCTGTTTTTATCGTTTTTTGTGATTTTTCTTTCCTAATAGGTTAGCAGGAGTGGCATTGATTGCTCCCGTTGTGAACTACTGGTGGTCTAGTTTTCCAGCCAACTTAACGATGGCGGCCTACAAGTTACAACCTCGGCAAGACCAATGGGCGGTTGGGGTTTCGCACTACATGCCGTGGCTGGTCTACTGGTGGAACACTCAGAACTGGTTTCCTGGCTCTAGCGTTATAGCCGGAACACCCAATTTCTCAGCTTCTGATTGGGAACTCATAGCCAAACATCGTGACCAAGGGTCACCAACACCAATTCCGATGAGAAAGGTAAAACTAAATCCGATTCCATACTTTTTTGAAAGTATATAATGTTTATATACGACAAATATTCACGCACACTGCTCACCTTGGTGAAGTTTGAATCTTTGACCTCCTGGGAGGCTGGCAGTAAACCCACATATCGTTGGGCAAATGACCCTTTGGTATCAAGTTTAAACTTATTGGTAAAGTAAATTGAAATGAGAGTTTGTTAAAGATTTTAAGCATAAACAACAGGAATACGTAAGGCAACAAGGACTAGCGGAGTCGATTTTCAGGGACATGAGGGTCGGGTTTGGTAAATGGGAGTTCGATCCAATGGAGTTAGAAAACCCTTTCGAGAAGGAGGAGGATGGCAGTGTTCATTTGTGGCAAGGGGATGAAGACGGGCTCGTACCCACGAGTTTACAGAGATATATAGCTAAAAAATTACCATGGATTCACTACCATGAGATCCCTGGTGTTGGTCATTTGCTACCAAATTATGATGGTAAAAAAGAAGCCATTCTAAAGGCACTTCTACTAGGGAAAAACTGAGTGTTTTTGATATAACTAATTAGTGCATTCTGTTTTCTAATTGATAAGTTGAACAACATATAGATGTAGCACGTCTTGATATACAGAATAATAGAAAGTTGGTGTGAAAATCGTGCTCGATATTATTTCGAATTGAATGTGTCAATCGGGGAGCAAATGATTGTTTGAGTGTATGTTTACAAGCACTTTATAAGTTGTAATTTAGTTGGAAGCGAATGTGACCAAAAGCTCAGGCTTATCTATAAAGCATTTAACAAAAAAATTTAATAACAATTTTTTATGCATGAAGTACTGTTTATTGATGCATATTACTTAAAAATTTAAGATCACAAGTAAATTGTGCATAAGTACAACTTATTAAAGCTGTATGTTTGAATTTGTGTAACTAACTGCGGATAAACATAATCAAATAGAGGATAAACATTTCATTTTAAAATATAAAAAATATAAAATATAATTAGGATAATTATTGAGTTCTAACATAATATTTAATTATTATCTTTATAAACAAAATAAATTATTAAACCTAAATTAAGTTAAATTAAATTACAATAAAAAATTTAAATTAAAAAAATATACAAACAAGTACTTTTAAATAGTTAATTTGATACTAATATTGATATATTTTTTACAAATTTTATATGATATTTTCAAATTTATATTTCATTCAAAATTAAAAACATTATCGTTTTCTCAAAACCACATAAAATCGTATTTATATCGACATGGATAAAAAATAAAACGAAACATTAAAATGAAAATATGTCTTGATGCATTGCACGAGTACCCTTCTAGTTTATATGAAATTGTAAGGATGTGGACATTGAAATTTCTTTTAATAAAAAAAGAATAAAACATACAAGAAAAAGAAAAAAATTAGTAAAATACCAAAATGCCCTCGGTCGGAATGAGGTTTTTATGGGACTACATCTGAAATAAAATAGCAATCACGATAATAAAAAATGTAATTATTTAAAAATAGGTTCCAGACTTGATATTGAGTGGCAATCACAGAAACCACAAGTGTAATTAACTCTAAATATAAATAAATATTTATGATCATAACTACTGATATTTGGTTTTCATGATTTTCAAAATATGTACGATGAATCGCTCCCTGTTAATATAATATTAAAATCATTGCATACGTTTATAAGTAATATAACATTTAGTTTCAATTACAAACGTCTTGTCATTTTCACTTTGCGTTTTAGGAATATATGGAAATCGGTACTTGGTAAGTTGGTATCATCAATCTAAATCAAAAAATGTATTTACTAAGATATATTGGATTTTGCTTTTTTTTTTTTACCTGGATATCTAACCGGCTATATAAGTCGACTAATAACAAGGCGACCACATGCTTTGCAGATAGGCTGAAGTCACCGCATTTGAACCTCCGTGGCCACAAAAGTATTTTTATTCCTCCTTGGATTTGAACCTGTGACCTCCTGGTACTGTTGATCTTTGAAACCAAACTCAAACCAATCAGACACTACCCTTATGGTTGGATTTTACTTATATTGTTTCGAGAAGAAGTTTTACCATTTGTGTTGTCTAATTTGTATGTCAATGTCAAGTAATCAATACTCAAATGTGCATTAAATACGTGAAAATCTCTATCTTTATTTTGGAGCCAAACTGTCAAACCAACTGAAACAAACTATTTTATAATCAATGTGATTTTATAAAATTTAAAACCGTACATACCAATATGATCGATATTATACATTCTAAATCGAATAAATTAAACCATTTTGCATCAAGTCCACCCGAAGATGCAATGCTTTATTAGGAAAAAAAAATGTGGTGCACCATACCCTATACATAATCAAATAGGCTTTGTTTGTTTTTTTAAAAAAGAAATTCTTATTAGTCTCTTATGTCTGATTAGTTAAGAGGTAAGGTCATTCAGACTGTTTTTTTTTTTCATTTTTTAAGAAGCACTTATATCTTGTTCACCTCTTATCTGATAAGAGGTAAACCAACCTCTTATTGTTCTTCAAACTCTTAGCAACGACATTTCTCAATCAATTAAACTTAATCGATAATTACCAAATCGACCATCACCTGTCTCAATTGATGTATTTTAATAGGATTTAAATGTGTTAACTACCATTAATGACATATTTTCGTTTAAATGAATGTTAATTATATAGTTTACATGTAAATTTCGTAATAATGACTAAACATGTGAAATTGTATAAACTTAAAACTATAATTTTCTAATGGATTAAATAGACAATTTAAACAAATTCAGACATTTATGATCAGTTTACAAAAACAAATAGTCTTATTGATTCAGATTTCAAACTTCAGCATCACCTTTTATTAATAAAAAATGAAGTAATACTTTAGACTTCAGCACCTCTTACAAAAACAAACGTCTGGTTTCTGGGAATGAAAAATATCATGGTGCCACAAGCTTTTTAATGAATTTTCACATGTGATATATTATTAAATAAATAAATTATGTTATTTAAAAAAAATCGAAGATTTGAGAAAAAAATGTTCCATCAACTATGTTAAACTCTAAATATCTACCAATTAGGTGAAATGTGTTGTAATTTTGTATAACTTTTTAAAAAAATGTATAGGAAAGATAATTTTTAAAATATTTTTATAATATAATTAATACTGGAATTACTAAAATAAAGTAACTGTTAGAGTTTGATTGTAATTTTTTAGAGATTTTGATTTTTAATACTTTATTTTAGAAAACTTATAGTATAGGGTTTCGCACTACATGCGGTGGCTGGCTGGTCTACTGGTGGAACACTCATAAATGGTTTCCTTGCTCTAGTGTTATAGCCGGAACGCCCAAATTCTCAGCTTTTGATTTGGAGCTCGTGGCCAAGCGTCGTGACCAAGGGTCACCAACACCAATTTCCTTTTACTTGTTCAAATAACAATTAAGGTGAAGCAAGGTCAAATGCAAAAGGTAAACTAAATCCAATTTCAAACTTTTATGAAAGTATATAATATTTATATCAACAAATACTCACGCACACTGCTCACCTTTTGTGATGTTTGAACCTTCAAACTCCTTGGAGGCCAGGATCTACTAATAAACCTAAATATGACCCTTTAGTACCAATTTTGAACTCATTGGCAAAATGAATTGAAACGAGAGTTTGTTAAGATTATAAGCATGAACAACACGGATACGCAAGGCACCAAGGACTAGCAGAGTCGATTTTCAGGGATATGATGGTCAAGTTTGGTAATGGGAGTTCGACCCAACGAAGTTAGAAAACCCATTCGGAAAGGAGAAAAAGGGTAGCGTTCATTTGTGGCATTGGGATGAAGACATGCTCGTACCAACGAGTTTGCGGAGATATATAGTGAAAAAATTACCATGGATTCACTACCATCAGATACCTGTTGTTGGCCATTTCCTATCAAATTATGATGGTAAAAAAAAAGCCATTTTAAAGGCAGTTCTACTAGGTGAATACCAAGTGTATTAGATATATCAAATTACTCTATTCTTGCTTTTAGTCGATAAGTTGAACAACATATAGATGTAATACGTCTTGATATATATATATATATATTATATATATATATATATATATATAGAAAGTTGGTATGGAAATTGTGCTCGATGTTATTTCGAATTGAATAAGTTAATTGGGGAGGAAATTAAGTGTACGTTTACAAGCACTTTATAAGCTTGTAATTTAGTTCGCAACAAATGTGACCGAAAGCTCAGACTTATCTGCAAGAAATTGACGATACGTGAAGAAATTGGGGTGTAATTGTATTGATACCGATGGTTTAACCAATTATCAAACCATAATTTATTATATACTTGAAAGGTACTCGCGTAATGCAACGATAAACATCTTGATTTTAATGTTTCATTTTATTTTTTGTCTTTATCGATGTTATAATACGGTTTATGTGGTATGGAGAAAATAATAATGTTTTTTTTAATAAAATATAATTTTAAAGATATCATAAAACTTTGAAAAAAATCGTATCAAATTAATTATTTAAAAATTTATTTTTTATGTAATTATTTTAATTCAATGTTTTTCATTATAACTTAATTTAAGTTTGACAATGAAGTAATTTATTTTTGATTTAATAATATAATTCTTTATGAAGAAAATATTTGAAGTATGTTGGAATAATTATCCTAATTAAATTTTAGATTTTTTTTTATATTTAAAATGACATGTTTATCCTGTTACGATTATAGGTATCTATTGTTAGTTACACAAATTCAAGCATGAAATTTTAAAAAATTGTACTTACGCACAATTTCATTGTAAACTTGAATTTTAAGTAATGTACATCAATAAACAATATTTCACACATAAAAAATTATTTTTAAGAGTTTTTTATCAGATGTTTTATAATATAGTATAGATATATGTGCCCCATTTCTGAAAATTCTTGACATGTCAATAAGCATTCCTCTAAAAAAAAAAGTCACGAGTGTACCTGCACATAATGGTCAAAATTCTCGAGAAAAGGCCGTGAACACCACCCATTAATTAGAGGCAGGATACATTTTTCTTTCAAAGTGGTATCGACAACCTGAAAGTCAATTTGCTTAAAAACTTTCAAGCCGCATAAGAAAACTGAAAAGCTATCAACGTTTTTCATGATGTGAAGTGAAACCACATACCAATATTTATTACAATGGCATCATTTTGGCTGATAGTAAACAGCTTCAAAAATCAGCTGTCAAGATACCACCAATACAACATGGGTGGTGCTTTTCATAAGCTGCAACGAGTAGAATCGGTTGAATTGTGTCCTCAACGGTTGCAAGAGTGACACCTGAGGTCGACTCGAGACCAACACTGTCCAAAGGATGTCTGCTAGGTGGCTTTTTTACTTGCTTGCACGGTTTCGGTTGTATTTCACCATCTTTGTGCTCTCTGGCCTCGGCTTTTCGAAGTCCTTTTTGCCAACTCTTGTATAGACCTTGCCTAAGAGTATACACAACAGGAATCAAGTGTAGTAAAAGAAAATGAATTATACTACATTGCATTAGAAAAAAATTAATGTTACTAACGAAAATGAACTTACTTGGAGATCCGGTGCTCTTGAATCAGGCACTTTTTCCTTTTTAACCATTACTACCGAGATCAAGTTTGCCACGTAATTTCTGAAGCTTCTTTATTCTTCTTTGGCGACGCAGCATTTGCCACCATCGCATTTTCTTTGCCATCTTCCCACCACCATGTTGAC